TCGCGGGAGCGGGGAGGGAAGGGAAGGGGCTGCCCGCAGCTCCCGGGTGGCTCCTCTGCGCGCCATGGGAGCAGGAGCCCCGGCCTCCCGACTCGTGTATCCCTGCCCCGCGGCGCCAGAAGGACTTGGGCGCCGTTTGCCCCTTCTTTCAAAAAAGAATTAAGGCTTTTCTAGGCTTGTGCCAGCCTAATCATAGCTACGGTCCTCGTGTAAGCCAGAAGCACAGTGACCTTAGCATACTCTAAAAATAGCCTACTTTAACACAGATTTATACATAATTCTGCAGCCTGCGCTTCAGCTAAGCATTTTATTTTCTTTATTTTTCTTCATCGTTAAACTTGGCCCTGACACTGGTCTGAAATTGATTCTGTAGGCCTCTGCTTGCTCCAAAGCAAGATAAAACAATTTGCCTTAGCAAAGTTTATGAAATAGGCTCACAACTAGAGCACTGCTAATCCTAAATGCATCTTGCTGACCTCTGCGTTCACTAAAAATATAACTTGCTGACCTACCATGGCAGCAATGGTCACTTTATTCTGGCCTCCCTTCCTGAGCGTCTGCCTTGGCCTCACTCACCACTGTCAGCACAGACACTAATCCTGCAGGTAGCCCTGGTGATGATCCTACCATTTAAAATCTTAACTATAATCCACGTGGTTCTTGTCAGTGCTAGAAATAAACTGTTGTAAAGTGTCATTTACTGTGAGGGTGACAGAGCCCTGGCACAGGCTGCCCAGGGAGGCTGTGGAGTCTCCTTCTCTGGAGATCTTCCAAACCCGCCTGGATGCCGCCCTGTGCCCCGTGCTCTGGGTGTCCCTGCTGGAGCAGGGGGTTGGACTGGATGATCTCTAGAGGTCCCTTCCAACCTCAGCCATCCTGGGAGTCTATTTGTTCCTACTTCACATCGTGACCACTTAAGTTCAGTTAAAGTCTTAATTTTGTGGAAAGAGTGGAACCGATTCATGCTTTCAAATAAAGACTGAGATTGTCTTTGCTTTTCTGGTTTACTGTGTGAATGCTCAATGAAGTGGGATAGTCATAAATTTAGGGAAGTTCAAAGGCATGATCTGATGTGACTGATGTCAAACCACTGACAGCTTTGACTGCAGTCAGATTTCTAGGCTATGTCAGTGTCTGGTTACATGTGCTGCCAGTTGCAAAAATTCATAGGAAACATTGGTACTAAGAATTTATTATTTAGTTTAGGACAGGATATGGCAATGAAAGTAAGGTAAGTGGTGAACTGAAAGGGAAGAAGAGGGCAACAGAACTGAGTTAAGAAGGGCAAGGGAAAAAGTAAAGCATTAAATCATCTGAGAGCACAGGTTTTATTGCACTGCTTTGATAGATGATTATAATATTCTGTCTTCTCCCCATAGAAATGTAGTTAAGTATAGTCAACAAATGCTCGTTCTGTACAAGCATTCATTACCACAAATAAAAGTTATCATAGAATTTGAAAATTATGATTATGAAAGTTGCTGGTAACTAAAATCAAATGCGTTCTCCCCTGCATCAGGTAGCTGCCACGCTGATGCACATGGTACTAGCCATCATAGTGAAGTCTGCTTTTGAGTAGTGACAGTATCCAACCAGGCATTTAGAAAATAGTTTCCCACTTCGATGAAGCTGGTATTTCCTTTGCATTTCTAAGCATGGTTTAGACTAATCATATGACTCCACTTTTTTTTTCCTCTATCAAAAATATTTTCTGTACATACTATGATAAAAACAATGCTTTCTGCTATTCAGGTTTTCTTCTCCTGCCCGGCCACAGAAGTGTATTCCTCCGTCTCCTTTACACCTTTCAAATTAAAACCACTTCTTACTTGTCCTGCTCAGGTGTTACAGTCTCTGCTCATTAGGCCATTGACAGGTTGAAACTGTCAAACTGTCAACTGTCCAGAAAACTATGCTGATCAAGAGGTAACACACGCAGAACTGAGCACAGTTTGGGGATAAAACTAGGCATGAAAGAAGACGTCAGATAGACATTTCATAAGAACAGGGAATGAAGGCAGTTGTTGCCAGAATCTCTCCAGAAAAAGTTGTGGAGCAAAATTCCTGCTCTGCGGTTTCTCGTTGCGTTTTCATTCAGAAATTTGTAGGGTTTCCTGCTGCCACCTGCTGGGACTGGAAAGCAGCTGCTGGGATTGGGAAGCAGCTGCTGAGGGGACATGGTCACAGCTCTGCTGGTGGAAATGGGGCTTCTCTGCTGGCCCTGGCTCCTTGGAGTTCCCTGGCGGAGCGAGGGCTGGCGGTGATTCCTCCTCTCGCTGGAGCGGACGGCGGTGCCTGCCCTGCTGCGCTGCTGGACCGAGCGCGATGCTGCTGGTGACTGCGGACTTGGGACCCAGCGCCCACCTCTTTGGGGCAGCCACAGCAGTGGCAGTGTGGCTTAATGCTTGCTTAGAAAGAAATCTAGTATTAACGTGAGACTGCCCTCCTTGTGTGAAAATAAGATAATGCAGGAGCATCCAAATGAAGCACAAGGTGAGAACTCCATAGTTGATTTGCTGTTGCAGTGCTAAATGCATCCTTTTAAAAAACTCGTTTCCAGTCTTTTACAAAATCTAAAGCAGATAAATATGTTCAAAATATTTAGAAAACGAACACCAATACATTGTCCATATGCTTAAACTTCCAAGGTTTTTAAATAACATAAATGACAGCTTTGTGGATAGCAGAGATTATGATCTTTCCTCCCCCATGTGGTATCTCTTCTGTCTGTTTTATACCAGCCTGAGTTTTGCTTTCAACAGCATAAAGACACGCATTTGTATGTCACATCTATCTAACCGATTCCAAGGCAAACCATTTATGCTTACAGGCAGAACCATGGTAAGTTTTGTACTAGTGGAAATTTTAGCTGTATTCTGAAATAAAGGTATATCAGCATGTCACACTATGATGTGAGTCACTCTGTGAGTTCCTGTGTCACCTGACCTACATGGGATGATGGGATCATATAAATTATTCAGTATAAATTAAGATGGTTGCAGTATCTTTTTAAAATCTCTTGAAACTGCAATTTCTTTTAAAATGAATTTCTGCAGAGCAGGGCATGTAATGTCCCACGGAGGAGTGCTAGAGCTGTGCTTTGTGGTTCTCTCTGGCACCCCACTAGTTATGATCAGAGTATCTCATACTGTTTACCAGGAAACGGGGCAGGTTTGTGGTGAACAGCTTTGGCCCCAAGATCTGCAGTATGGCTGTCACTTTGTGACTTGCTGTCACTGACACTGAAATGGCCCTCCTATCCGGGCTGGTCAAAATTGGTGGATTTTGTGATCCATTTTTTTCTTTATCCAGTAACTTCAATACTGAAGGTTTAAGCCTAATCCCAAGTTCTCCTGATATGCCCCCTCCTCCAGTTACAGTATTTAAAAATATTTACAGCAAGGAGTTGTTCAAAAGCTGGAGGAAGGCTGGGAAGAAAACAGTGGAATTAGGCTTCTGTTTGCACAGGATGTTACTAGACAGAATCAGCCGGGAAGCTGCTAGAACATGGAGAGATGCCTCACTCTAGCAGGTTAATTTTTAAAGAAAAATGTAATGAGAGCTGAGGAACAAACTGTCCTGTTGTGCAGGAGGGCTGGAAAATTCTTTAGGAAGCCTAATAAGTTTTTGATGAATTAAAAATCAAAATAAATAAAGAAGGAGCTTTCAAGAAGCGTAAGCAAGAATTGATTACAAAGGTCAAGTATTAAAACATTGCTCGTATGTGTGGAATTGAGATCAGGAAGTCCAAGGTTCAGCTAGAGAAAAAAAAATAGTGTAGGACATAAGGGCAAGTGAGATGGATTTCACAAAGATGCCTCAGGAATCAGAAGATCTGTTGATAGATGG